TTTTGGTAAATTGTGCTGTATTATCAGCCAATGCACATTTTAGAGTAGAACTATGGGCAAACTAAAACATGACAAATGGAGGATAGGGAATCAAGGGGTGAGAGCACCTCCCCCTCCCCCAGTAGTAGTGGGAATTCACAGCTCCCATCCCCACAGTCTTATGCTGCCCCCCACACTTTATATCTCCCCTCATTTATCCACCTACTCATATGCCCTCTATAAGGACCCTAAAAGTCCTGATCCCATTTGTCCACTGGGACATTCACTTAATAAACGAGCAGCAGGAGAGAACCTAACTACACCCCAGCCCTTTATCTACAATCGACTGTTGCCCCATGGTCTTCCTATGGTGGGACATTAATCTTGTGGATGATCAGTTCTGTACTCGCTATTGTATAAAATACAGACGCTGTACTCCTTACTTGTGTATCCTTAACCTTCCCTGTTGTTTACCTTTTCCCCCATTATCTCTACAATCCTAACCGCAAGAAATTGTATTTCAGAATGTAACTTTTTCTTTGTACAATACATATGTGTTTGTACACCATTTCAATTGCTTGAAACCTACTGGAAAACTATTTCTCAATAAATATTACATGTGGGAAAAAAATGGCATGAAGTCCCTAACTTTAACACAGCAGTTGTGGTTTTTCTGAGTCTCCCCTCTATTATTATCTGCTGGTTTTGCCATAAGATTTGTTATTTTTCCGCTTGTTTTAGCATGGTGACAACATTGTTCATTCTGCAGTGAAATCACACAACAGCGTTGTCTGTGGACAAAGTTGTACTAGATAAACATTTACATTTAAATGGACTTTAAGTAAGGAATAAACAAATTAAAGCCTAACTCCAACTAGCATGTTTAAAGCAGCTACAGTATTTTTTTTTAATGTTGGTAAAAAAGTCTAAACCATATGAATACCATTTTGTTGGATGGATGGATGCTAACACTTGTGGTCAAAAAGCAAGGTGTTGGCAAAATGTTGAGTATTCTCCAGGACTCCCATCCTAAATTCTTTAAAATTTGAGAGCTCTGGCCTATCTGTATGCCCTTCCTACCTTGAATCCCTCTAGTCTTAGTTATTACCTCTATGTTGGGCCTGAGCGTTTGAGGGGGGAGGGGATCCCCAGTCCCCTTCCCTTTTTCTGTATCCTTTCCCTGGTTTTCCCCCTCCCCCTTGCTTTGTTACACTATCCTTCATCACTTTTGTCCTCCCTCTTCTTTCTCCTTTACATTTCTCTGCTCTATTCGCTTGCCAATGACCAGTGTAGCCACAAATTGAATCATCAGATAGTAGGTGGGAAACCAGTGACTTTGCATACTGGTCCTAGGCACATGGCTGATGCTTTTTACTATTAGAGCCATTAATGTTGCTCCTGTATGCTTTGTTGTATGCATTAAAATTTCCGCCCCTGCATGGACTTCACAGCTGTCAAACCTTTGAAAATAATTTTAAAAAATTATTAAAAAATGAATATATTGTTAGCCAATAAAAAGGTTGTCACCTATGCGAAGTGTTCCAAAAGTAGTATTGTTTTGATATAATCAAATTCACTAAAAAGTGTTCCAAAAGTTCTATTTTGTAAAACCTTCAGATGTACAAATGCTACAAACTTACAACCAACACAGTTTGACATATTCATAAATGAAGTTTTCTAGTGCATTCATCAAATCCTCAATTTTTTGGATGACCTTAGGGCTAATATAACAAATTTAGTCCATTTCGCTGATTTGTTTTTTCAAACATCCATTTATCAACATAAATAAAAGATCATAAATGAAGCTTTCACTCCAAGTTTATTGTAATTTTATAACATTCACACATGTAAAGTTATTAAAGATTAATGATGTACAAGGACTTTTGGGTCACCTGGTGCAGCTACTTACCGACTGCCATCAATGGAGAAGGTGTAATCGGACAGGATAAGGTAAACCAGCACATTGCACATTAGAACCTTCCATCTCATTTCCATCACAAATCCCCAAAACAAGGGGATTAGTCCTCATCTGTAGATAGTGGGCAGAGCCAGGCAAGTCATTCCTTTCTCCCCCTTGGCCAACTGTACCTCCAGAACCACTGATTTATATCCCAGGTACAACCTAATATAAAACAAACGACTGCAAACATCATACAACTGTTCACGGCTTGTTGGCCATTGCATGGAATAATGGCTTCTATGAAGTAGGACTTGAGGTGGGCCATAAGGAACTAAAACCTCCTCCACTAAACCAGTATTACTACTCTTCATAGCTAAGAGTGCAGAAAGGGAGTGAGTGGGTGAGGTACTTAATGGGTGACCTTTTGAGGACATCTTGTGGTCATAGACAAGCACTTCAGTTATCAGCCACATTTGTCATGAATGCCACAGATGGCAAAAGTGCATTCAAAAAAGTGCATACAGCTAACAATGATATACTTGAATAAGAACACAAGAAAATGTCACCCTTTATATAATTTATTCCACATAAATATTAAGATTTTTTAATGGTGTACTGTGGAAGAAGTATACCTTTGGCCTCAGAATCATGTTTTACCCACTTCAGCAGAAATGACTTAGCTTGGAATAATTGTCTTGGTAAAATTGACCATGCAAAATTCCTTGAGTTGCATGATGCTTGTTGGTTTCCTTGCATTAACTCCCCGTTTCAAATCTCCCCACAACATCCCCCTCCCTCAAATTATTTAATCATGTTAAAGGATCCATTTCTGGTTCAACTTCAAGTTTTGGACAAGTGGTCGCACATTTCCATCAAGCAGACTTTGATATGATGGCAGAATTCATAGTTGACTCGATGACCGCAAGATGCCCAGGTCCTGCAACAGCAAAGCAACCCAAACCATACAATGTCCACTGCCAAGCTTCCCAGTTGGTAAGATGTTCTTCTAAAATACTGTCTTCGGTTTGGCCCAAACATGTCTATTGTTACCGTTGCCAAACAATTCTATATTTAGTCAATTCTCAATGTTAGTCTATGGAGAGTCAGATTGAAACTAACCTGTGGCCCTTTACATCTGATTACCTCCAAATACATCTAGTAGGTACCTAGAGTTCAGTTTTGGCAAACCTGAATAGGACAGATTGTAGGTACGGAGATGTAAATGGGCACATGTCCCCTTACATCTGACATACCATAGACCTAACATGGGTTCGATTAGTTCAGTCTTTTCTTCCATCGCAAGGAAAGAATGGAACGGACTTGAATGTCACAAGAGTGACATCCATTCCATACTGCTCTGATCAGCGGGATCTGTGCATTGATCCCCTGTTGATCAGAACAGAAAGGAGCCTTCCACTCACTACACATGTTGCAATGTGCTTTAGATCTACCAAAAAGTACCAAGTGCAAGGGCCTGCCTGATTGGATCCAAATTAATTGGACAGTTTTGCTAGGCTCTTATATTATATCGTTTGGGTAAATGTAATGGTATGGAGATTGTAGGATAAGAGAGATATGTAAGGTATGTATGGCAAGCCTAATGGAGCGCTGGATAGAATTAAATACCTAACAAGGGTTCTTATGGTTCCTTAATTTATCCAAAGCTGAACTAAAAAGCATTGGCTGGACATGGAGTACGACTTGGAGTTGGGCCATCACCTAGTCACTCAGGATCTAGTTCTAGCCAGCTCAATCGATTAATAAAAGCTGGATACATTCCTAAATTCACAGACCTACCGTATATACTCGAGTATAAGCCGTCCCGCATATAAGCCGAGGTACCTAATTTTAACGGAGATTGTTGATCAAGGAAATAGCCAGTTGCCTTAGGGGGATCGGGAAGGATTTCTCTCTCCTGTTGGAAGACACTGGACCATGTTTTATAAGGCTTTCTTTTTTGCCTTCCTCTGGATCAGCTGTGGGTGTATGGTTCTGTAAAATTAGGTTTTCTATTTATTTTCCTCTCACTGGACATTTATTTGTTTCAACCCAACTATGTAACTATGGCATATACTTAGAACTGCGTTGATGTGATATCATACAGATGGTAAATATGTTGTCCTGATCTCCAACTCGGAGGGTTTGGGTAATATCGGATTTTTTTCCTGAACTCTCCTAGTTCAGTTTTACTATCAGAATTAACTTGAGGGCTTGTTCACGCCAAATGCAGACCAGATCTGCATGAGTTTCTGCACATGCAGTGCAGTGTGTTTTGGGCTGTTTTTTTTTATAGCCTAAAATGGGCTTTCAGTGCGTTCCAGGGCATTTAGATTGCATCCCAGAGCAGAAGAAATAGGGCATTCTGCAGTTTTTCCTGGAACCGAATGCACTGGTGTGAACTAGTGCCCAAAATACCGTTGGAATACAATGGATGCCGTTTTGATGCGTTCTGTAGCTGCTCTGCATATGCTCCTCGCTTGGTGTGAACTGGCCCTGAAATAAATGGCCACAACAGATACCTTGAGAGTACCAATGATGGGAAAAAAATCTGCATCAATATAGCAGGAAATGTTCCCAAAATCCCCCATTGTTCTCTTGTGCAGAGATAAAACAATGTTGCTGGTCACAGTGTATGTACCTACATATGTAAGATCCAAACCTGGATGTACTGTATATTCACTGTCAGGTTAAGACCGTTTTGGCGGCTTAATAACAACATCTGTATCCAAAATGTCGTTTTTTTTTTTATTTCTATAGAACAACAAGTGCGCCCACTGAGGCTGAATGTCAAGCCAAGACTTCCCAAGGAGTGCTGCAGTCACAGTGTCCATGATCGCAAATCGTTTTTAAAATAATACCGGCGTGACATACATCATATCCAGGTCAAAGTTCATAGTTTGTCTTTAAATGTCAGCGTATCCTCTGTAACTTCTTATCCGAAAAGTATTTCTTACAGAACGGAGATCGCTTCACAAATATTAAAAATGATGGTGTTCCGGCTTTCACACAAAACCTGCCGAGATAAAAAGAAATACAACAAAAAAAGTTAAACTTTTGGTTTCAGAAGCAAAATGTTCCGTTAGACTTACCGGTAACGGTATTTCTAGGAATCTTCCAGGACAGCAACCTGAGAGATGATTGGTTCCACCTTCTACAGGAAACACAATTAGTAAAACAGTTAAAAGCCCCTCCCCTTCGTACCTCAGTTGTGATAAAAGTAGACTACCACCCCAGTAAACGAGGGGACAACCCAACAACAAATAACATACCATACATTATTCCGGGTGGGAAGTAGGCTTGCTGTCCTGGAAGATTCCTAGAAATACCGTTACCGGTAAGTCTAACGGAACATTTCCCTAATCATCTTCCAGGACAGCAACCTGAGAGGATAAACAAGTACATAAAATACAAGCCTACCTCTCTAGAGGGTCATCAACGCCTAGGCCAAACTTAGCAGCGCTCGCATACGTGACCTGAATGTAGTCTTTTAGATACACGGACCTTTCTTTTATAACATAACAGGAGCCAAGAAACATTCTGGGGTTGACAAAGTAAAAAAAAAAAAATTGCTTAAGTGTCTGTATTGTCCATAGCAAATAGCAGGATCCAAGCATCATTCTCCCAGTAAAAGCTAAAGCAGAAAATTCATCTTAACCCTTGCAGTGGGTTTAGTCCCAGACTGCATGGGTTAAATGCTTGTTTTGGTCTAGGGCAGGGGTGGCAAACTCAGATTCATCGGGGGCCGCATCAGCAGTATGGTTACCCTCAAAGGGCCGGTTGTATAGGACTATGCATCTACTCTTTATTATCATAAATAGTTGCCTCTGCATTCAGTTGCTACTGGT